TGTGTAATAATCAGGATACTAAATATTGCGTATACATGGTTAGTTTAATTTCATATGCAAATCTTGCATTATTTAATGTTTTTTTTGTTTTACAATTAATGTTCATATTTAACTGTGTACCTGATATTGGCTTTAAGGATTGCCTCTGTTTTTCTTCTCCTTGACTGTTCTTCAGGTGTCTCAGTAGCCCTAAAATTGATTAACTGTTATATCTTCTTTGTATATATTAGAGGTATTACACAAAAGCAATTACATAATAATGACATGTAAAGGGACAAGTCAGATTCATTATAGTATGAAAACTAAAGTCCTTGAATTATTTGTAGAATTTTCATAGCAGTACCGTTGGTTTAGCTCAAGATTGGAGTTTAAACTTTTACTTTGGGATTTTTCCCTATGGAAAGAAGCCATTTATAGCATGGTAAGACATAAGCGTGGAACCATAAAAACTTTGACAAATTTCCCCTGTATGAATTTTTTGTAATTGTAGTTTCTATAGTAAGGCTGAAGTCTGGGAAAACACAGATGAGATAAGCTGTTAAAACAGTCTCAATGTAATTTATTTGGGCTAGAAATCGTCTTCTGATACTGTACGTGCAAATGCTTTGTGCAATGATTGTTAGGTAGCTTATAATTTAATATGGCAGTTTTATTGTTATTATCACCAAAGATGCAAATCTAGTTTGTTTCATTAACTGAACCATCCAGAATTATCAACATAAAAAATTGTTACAAACATATACCCCTTGACTGTATAATTTAATAGTAATATTCTTTATGTACCTTAAAAAGTAAACATAAGAAAACGAATATGGGCAATTTCCAAAGATACATACCTAATAACTTTTCACTTCCAACAAAAGCGTTGAGTATAATACGTACCTTTTTATGGCCATTCGCTGTGCGTTTTTTATTCGGCGATGAAACGCCTGATCTGGAGTCTCGCAAGATCTGGAATTATAATCAATAGATAACTTTCAACTAATATGCTTGTCTAATATGTTGTGTTATTTAGATAAATAAGTACGAAGTTTACATTCGTGATTATAAGATATCGTCCGAAATTGGGCAACTTATAAATGTCCTTCTCATAAGAATGAGAAGGACCTTCTCATTCTTATATAATTATCTTTCACTGTTTATTTGGAGCTTATGTGTAATAAATTAACTTGGTGTAATAGGCGACTGCAAATGTGAGAGTGAGAGGAATAGGCCTATGAGAAAAAATATGCAACACTTCTATTGCCACCATGAATCATTTTAAGTTTTAATAAATATTCTTTGTGAAATGTAAAACTCTACCTACACTTACCTTAACTTTTGCATTCGCAATCGAGCCTTTTCATTTTGCTTAGTTTGGTTTGTTTTCTTCTTCATTCGAGGCATCTAGTTGTATCATTACACCAAAAACATTTGAATTCTATTAGTTTTTAATGTAACAAACTCGAAAACAATAAATAATACCAGACACACTAATTGCTTAATATTACAAAGATTATTGTTGTATGTGTCAATTGTATGGGCAAATAAATGTAATACTTACCAATATGGTACTGTACATCTTCGTAACATGACCTTTAAGCTTTATTAAACCATGAAATAAAATGGAGTGTAGGAGTAATAATTAACTGATTACCTAGCATAATTTTGTTTAAAATAGTCTGTCAACATGGAATGGATATTCAGCCTGATTTTTCAGTGCATGTGATAATTTAAATTCTGAGATTTCAAGTAAATTTAGGTTACATAGGCTATTGAAGTTGTTACGTAAACAGATGAACAGTAAAATCATAATTCATGTTGACAATCTGATAAATACCTGACTTAGGCCTAAAGGTAAAACCATAGACAAAATTACTCGAGTCAATGGTATATTATGTTCACATTATTGAAATGCCTGTTTGCATTATCCAAAGTCATATGGTACATTTGATTCACATAAAAGAATATGTGAACATGAATATGAACGTGTATAACCAGCACAATTCTTTTATGGAACACCATTAGCGCAACGATACGGATAGTAAGCCAACGGTGGTCGTGGCGTAATGGATAGAGTACGCGGCTGACAACCTAGAGGTGTGAGTTCGAGTCCCATCAGCAGCGTTATCTTTTTGACAAAAATTTTGTTTAGAATGTGATTTATTCTTTACTGTTGGCTACTTTTTTTTAGAATTTGAGGCATTTACAATTGTATTTTATGAACAGAAAAATTTGTTATTAACTTCGTTTTTAATCATTTCCCAGACAGACTGTTAAAGGTAGCCTAAGTTAACATAGGTTTTCTTTATAGGCTAAGTTACTTAAGGTAATCGATTCGTAAAATTATTTAAACTAACTTAAACCAGTGAAACCTATCAACTTATTTGTAGACTAATAAAAGGTTTAATGTTATGCAATAGTGTGTAGTGTTGGTACGTATTAGTAAGTGTAGATAAATTGGTGGTAGGCTAGGCCTTGTATTTTTTTCAAACGACGTCCTTACATCTAATACTTATGAATTAAACCACAAAGCATATAGGCCTAAGTTTAATTTAATTGGTTATTCATTTTGATCTAAGTGGACACAAATATGCTAAGTCCTTTCTTATTTTATGGTCTATATAGCTTAAAAACTTACCTCTAACTTAAACCAAAGCCACAACGATTTAAGTAAGTAAAATCAACATTGTATTTTCAGGTCTAAAAAGGCCTAGGCCTAGTAAGTTACTTATTTAACAATAATTAATTGTTTTCAACGTGTACGCAACGATTAGCCTAATCCATCGGCAGGAATTTCACTAAGTAATGTAGTATGCCACAAAGGACAGATTGTTATTAATTTTGTAGCAACCTGTATTATTAAACAAACAGCTATAAAGAGTCTTATTGTTATATTTATTATTATTAACTTACCTCTTGTATGAAGAATTTTTCTGGATTCTGTTGTATAATGGTAGTACTCTACAATCCAACATTCAAATAGCAACATTCAAACAAAACCCGATGTATGCACAACAGCTGTACCAGTAATTGTTGAAGCGGGTTAGCCACTGGGATCGTGGAAAGTTCTTCATCTGTTTGCCAGTATTGTTGCCGGGCTAGTTACTGGGATCTAGGAACAACACAACCGTATCGTCCTCATTGATTTTAAAATTGTTCGTGGTGTAGTGGATAGCGTACTCGGTTGATAAACGTGAGGTGGCCACTTCGTATCCTGTATGCATCGTAAACTTTTTATCAATGATTTTGCTTATACTTAATGCGATTTATTTATAACTATACATCTTTTGTTAAAATTTGGAACATTTATAATTTTATTTTTTGATGAGAATTAATTTGTTTATCAGTACATTAACTTTGTGTTTTAATCAGTTCCCTAACAAATTATTTATGGTAGGCAAATCAATTAACTTATCAGAGAAAACTATTATTTTTCTACTGTACATAAACTGTATACAACAAACGCCGACTAATAGGTATAGTAAAGTTCAGTTTATTATTCTAAAAGTTGTGAAATTATAATGGCATATATTCATAGACGTCAAACTCTTTACTCCATGAATGAAAGAGCTTAGAGGAAAAGTCGTTCTCTCTGTCTTAAGTAGACAACAAAATTGTTGGTCGCAAAATGTAAACAAATAAAAAGAAGAAGAAGGTAGCTTCTAATGTTATTCTTATGGGACGAATTTAAAAATGTTTTTTTCGGGTTTTATAATTACTACTGAGCGGAATCGTCTAGAATTTTAATGGCGTCTTCCCACTGGTGTCATAATTATTTGTGCAAAATTTGAACGCTATAAGTGCAACGGTTCTTGAGATTTGACGCGAACACACGGACTCACTCACAGACAAGCGGACAACTTTTCTCCGACTCCGCTATACACGATACATAGATTCGTTCACTTCGTTCACTCATCTATTAATTAGGCTAATTTTGAATAATAACACAATAAGAAAATATATAAGAAAGATAAATCCCGGTATTTGTAGTAAACATCAAATAAAACTTGTAATTTTCCTGGTTTTCCTATACATTTTTATGTTCTGATAGCATTATTTGAAACCAAAATCTCACAAAATCAAAAGACATATAGTTTACAATGTAATACCGTATTGAATTTAACCCTGATTTAGTTGGACGAGGTTATTGTAATATAGCAATTTTAGGGAAACTAATGTTTTGCAGCAAAGTCTCAGGAACACATTTACTACTACTAAAACTAAAAGATTGCATCTAAATAGTCTGTGACTAGCTGGTGCTGCTACCTAGTAACGCATTGAACAACCATCTGCAGCGCCATCTGTTCGCAATCGGTGGCGACAGCTTAAATACCGGGTTTTGACTCCCCAGTCTTCAAGCACAGATAGCCGAGAAGGCTAGGGCGTGTGTCACTTGGCCAGTGGCATTCGTCTGCTCGGGTTCGAATCCCGTCCTGTGTGGCAAATAATTGGTGACCTGTGTGTTTGTAGCGATATACTACAACCACTGGGGCATAGTGAGGTGTTCATAATCCTTGGTTTAGACATACACCTCGAAATCATCGGATTGGGCGAATCTTTTAGCTAAGTGGTTGGTAGTGTATCCTATGAACATGCAGGTCACCAATGGCCGTTTTGCTATTTTTTTTTAAATAACCTTCCTCTCTATATCCCTTTGGAATATAGAGGTAAAAACCCTATATCCCTTAGGGTTTTTTTAAAACAACGATATATCGTTCCATAGCACTGAAAGGGTTAACATTCTGATAAAAGTGTTTCTCAGTGTCTAATCCAGTGACGTTTTGCATGAAAGTATCTCACTAAACACGGGGGAAAGTGATTTGAACCTCTCAAATGTTTTTGAATAAGAAAATGAATTGAACCGGACAATCTCGTGCTGAAGTCTGAGACACTAACTACCAGAAACCTAACACCCCACCAACCCATTTTGAAATTAATGAGAATATAAAGCTATTAGTAACAAAATAGTTTAGGCTAAAAATACATATTTCTATCTGATAGCTACTGATCACACATACCATCAGGGAAAAGTTGAGCTATTGGAACAGTCGGTGGGTCAGTCTGTTTATTTCCCTTTCCTCTATTCCTTTTTCTAGGTTTCTTCTTGGTCTCAGCATTGCCTCCGTCTTCTGCATTTTCAGTCTCCTTGTTTCCATTAACTTTTAGGTTGCTAACATCATCAGCTAAAGTTTCCGCCGTATCACCTCCGTCCCCAGGCACATCGGCCGAAGCTTCACCAGCACCTAAAACATTTCTTGCTTGGATGACTGAAATAAAAGATTCAAAATCGAAAAACATGACAAATCAAAAGGTAACTTTTTATCAGCTTGACTGCATTAAAACAATGCATTTGATTATATTTGTTCATAAACTGACTTTAGGTCTTACATTATAACATAAATTTTATCATGTTGAAACAGCACATCCAATCTTTCTGTATAAAGGATAGCAGAAATAAAAAATCTATAGAAACTTTTTATCAGGATTGATACAAACTAATATATTATTTGTGACATTTAGCCTAGGGAAATATTTTGTGTTTTTCAAAAAGCAAGCTTCTGGAATTATGATAAGATAAAACCTAAAGACTGTTCAGTAATGGCAAGGGATTACAGCTGTGTGAAGAGAAAATTTGTGAAAAATGTCTTTTAAAAACCACCTGTCATTTTTCATAAAACCTTTCCTCACTTAAATGGAGAAATGTGAAGTTGAGGATACCTTTACTTTACAGCTGTCTTAAATAAAATTTTTAATCAAAGTTTCAACATTAATTTTAGACAAAAATTTGGATCTAGGATAGGCCTAAAATACTGTGGGTAAAAAAATATGTGGGGTGTGGTGACATTTTTAAACCAAACTTTTGTTGTAGGCCTATTTAAAAAATGTTTAACATCAATTTATACCCAGCGAGGCAATGTTTAGTAGGCCTATTGATAAATTAAAAACCTCGTGAAATTAAATACCAAATACAAGGCTTATTCAGTCCCATCTGTTTAAATAAAAGTTGGATGACTAATTAGAAACAATTAAGTAAGGCGTTTGGTAATAAGTATTATCACTATAGCACTATAATCACTAAGCGTTTAGCTGAAGACTGCTACATTACATATCCAGACATACAGGCTAATTAAAATAGTCTATTGAAAAATCCATAACAATAATGATATAAAAATAAAACCTATAAATACCCAATTAAGGAAAACAAAACTGCTAACATCTGTAATATGCTATTTAACGTAACTTGAAACTCTAAAACAATGTTGCAATAGCTGGTATAATTGACTGCAATTAAACTTCTTATCCTATTGTAAAATCAGTGACCTGATTCAATGAATGCTGCCTATTATTACCTGGTTTTCATAGCCCTACCAACTATGTTTCTCTTTTATCTGTTAATAAATTGTATGTGCTTTGATGAACTACCATACCTAATTGCTGCACCATAAAACCGGATAAGGGGAAACAATGGCCTAAATTACTGGTTGTTTTAATTGTAAAATAAACTTACGGATACTATTCCGGGCACATCCACAACACATAAGTTAAGGGTTTGGGCAGATTTCCCTAAAAACCTTTATTTTAGTACAGTGTACCTACATTGCCTTTTCTGTAAAAACGCCACTGGCGTCAAAAAAAAAGTTATTGAAGTTTCACAAAATAAACAACAGCAACACTGCACTCTAAGCTGAGTAGCTAAACATTACTCACCCAGCAATCGGAGCGTTGCCAGTTTAATCCTGGGAAGATTCAGAAGCTAGCTTTTTTAAAGGTTTGAAACTGTTCTCAACTATCCTTCATTATTGGGCGAGAGTTAAACAGTCTCAATGATGAAAGGCAAAACTAGGATCAAATTTGTTACAATTAAAATTACAACCAGCTGCCGGCTGCCACTGATTTTTACAATCTTCACAACCTTAACAATTTAATACCCAAATACCAACTATATAAAATGAAAGTAAATTTATTCTCCAACATGAATATACTATATATACTTATAAAGGCAAATAAAAATAAATAAATATTTTACAGTGTTTTAAGTTACATGAAATGCTGCTGTGCCTTTTTCATGTGGCGGTCAAATTGTTTGTTCACTATGACGAAATGTTTCAAAAACAGGCTAAATGAAGTAATGTGCCAATCCTCCAATTTAGTAAGTCTACGCACAAGAAACAGTTTAATGTACAGGCTAAATATGTAGGCCTACAAATTTAAAACTAATAAATATGATTCGTAGTGATGAGGTCACAGTCACACCCGCGATACTCGTTGTTGGTGAGCAGTCAATAATGTTCACAAAAACTGGCTAAAAATAGTGCCTCAGGTTTCTAAAAGTACTGTCACATTTCAGTCAAAAAGGCACAATAAATAATTGCCAAACAGAAAATTATTTACAAACTTATAATCACGATGTAAACAGATACGGTATAGTAAAATCACACCAAAGCTCGACTTGTTAGTTGTTGGCCAACAGAGATTGACAGTGGCGGATTTACTATAAGGAACACTAGGGTAGTGCCTAGGGGCGCCTGCCGTTGAGGGGTGCCCGGCCGCGGTATGTGGCGGGCGGCGCATCAGCGGGTGACGAGCGGCGCAGCGGCGGGCGCGTGGTAGTTAGGCTGCGGCCACATGGGTGATTTTTCAAGCGAAAATGCAGCTTGAAAACATGTGAAAAATTAAAGTAGCATTGAAAGGAATAGGCGCCCGCTGTTGCAGAAAAACATTTAATGCTACTCATATACGTGTGTTTTACGCTATGTTCGTGCGTGAAAAAATGACTGTGTGGCCGTAGCCTTAGCGGTGAAGATGACTCACGTTCATGTCGCGACGTGCAGAGGCAGACATACGACTGCGACTAGCGACCACTGTCAGTGTGTCATTTCCAGTACCTGTGTTGTATTTTTCTAGTGGCAGTTATATTATAAGTAAAATTATTGTTTAGCTGTTTTGAATGTTAAATTTAAAATCTTTCAGTAGCCTATAGTGAGTTTTATTGTTAACCCGCATGTGAACATGTTGGTTAGTAAATAAGACAATTAAGTCATGGCTCAAACTTTCGCCCATTTTATTAATTGTTGATTAAAGTAGGCTACTCATAATTAAATCAAAATATAAATAGGCTTTATTTATTACATTTTTGCAATGATACAGTGGATGTGTTAAGAGCAGTCATAATTTATTTTTGTTTTGGCAGAACAATATGTTTATTTAATCTAAAATGTAAAGTGTATTAGGCCTAATAACAGGCCCTATTTATTTTATTTACGTAATAAAATTACTTTTTTTGGAACCGCTTTTGTTTGTTTTACTTTTTTAGTCATTTGAATTTTGTAACTTAAATATGCATGGAGAAAATAATAATAATGAGTGAAAAATGAAAAACGTCATGAGTGGTGACGCAGCATTTTGCACACTGTCAAAGGAAAAGCGTGAGAGAGAGACTTCCTTTCCTTTTTTGCGAAACACAAAGGGGCGGCCAGTCGAACGGGCCTAGGGGCGGCGCCGTCTAGGTAAGTCTGCCACTGGAGATTGATTGTTAGTCTTGGACAAACCAACAAGTGATTTTTTTGAAACATTTTGGCAATCTTGTGATGCGTACATGGTGCAACTGACTTTGAAAGACATTTTTGTTTATTTTAGTGCTCACTTAGCCTAAGTTATACAATGATCCTTATTATGTAACAAAATTCAAGACAGAATCTTATCTTATAAAACTTCTACAAAAATTATTCCATTTTAGGCCTACGATCGTTTTTAACCATTTATTTGGAATTAATCAAAACCTTGCAAAACGTGACTTTTAAACCACCTACGGCGACTATTATAGTAGCACTGCGAGTTAAACCAAATGCCGTAAGTAAGTTAGCACAGCGTGAAAGTTTAGAGTGATACCAGGGTTGGTAGCCTAAGTTAAATTTGGAAAATAAAATTCCCTGAATTTTCCAGTTTTCCATACTGATACTAACTTAGCCTATACTTTTTCCAGGTATAGGTACCGTAAGTCGATATCGACTTAACTTAATCAAAGCCAGGAAATATTAATTTATTAATCGGACGACATGGTAATCACCTGAAGTGCCATCTTTTGCAGTAACTTAGTAGAACCTGATGCACAGCTGAACAGTGACCCCACAGGACCAAGCAGTAACTTGATGTTATAAGACTGTTAAAGAGGGTTTGGTAAACAGTCATGAGATAAGTTAAGGCAGAGTGATATAAGTTAGCCTAATCGATAACACGTAAAAAACAATGTAAGTTACGATAAGATATCTAGGTAAATAGGTATATTTCATCCAATGATATAAAAATGGTAATACAATTATCAGTGGAACTGTAAGTTAGGTACTCAGATGAGATGGCAGCTTCCTTATAGAATGAATCACTTATTAAAAACCAGGAGTCAAGGACATAAAGTTAGGCCTAGTGTCCATTTTAAACCATTTAACATAATTTTGAATGCAAGTTATTGTGAATGAATGGTAGGCCCTCTGAAGCCTTAAAACCAGGAAATTCGGTATTGGAGGATCTGTGGACTAACCTAGACCATTGTAGGTAGGGTCCTAGGCTGGTTCCTTGAGATGGCCCAAATGTAGCCTCATGCTATGTTATTTGTAAAGTGTAAAGTAAAGTAATTAAATTACAATCTAGGAAAGCTTCAAACTATTTACCTGCTTTCTTTTTCTTCTTTTTGCGTTTCTTTTTCTTAGAAGCTTCTGAAGCACCATCTTCTCCTTCAATGTCAATTTCATCGTTTGCAATGTCATCTACAAGCTTTTCGGCGGACTTGCCAACTTCATCGAGCACGGCAGCCATTGGTTTCTATGTTTTAATAGTGTAAACAATAAAAATATTTATGTCAAGCACCAATTTAATACGAATTCACCTTTCACTCAGAATTTTCAACTTCCACAGTTCCACGCCGGAAAGAAGGAAGATCTGCTGGATGAAAATTAATGTTTGAGATAATTGAGAACAAAAATAAACAACATCTGTTGCTCAGTTGATTTGTTGATTATGATTGCGGCAGACTAAAATAGAACAACATAGCCAACAGTAAAAATTGAAAATTGAATTCTTTGTTGTTGTAAATATACCGTATAAAGATCGATACGAAAATGTTTGCTAAATTACTGTGAAATCGAAATGGCCTGTTAGCGAATTTCTCTATAGGGAAGTAGCTTTTACCGTAGGTGGCACGGCACGGTAAGACCTAGGAGGGCCGGGACCGATTTACTTTTTCATTTCGATGGCCCCAGAGGCCAAAAACTTCACTCGTTCAAATTTGTATATATGTATATATATATATATATATAATATATACGTCCGTGAACGCGATAACTTGAGTAGTTTTTGTCCGATTTTGATAAAATTTGGTTCTAAGGTGTAAGGTGGGATAAACTTGAATGAGTTCGCGAACCAGCATGATCGGACCGAACCATGGGAACGGGGTTTTAAGGGGTAACAAATAAATGGTTTTTCTAATTTTTGACCCTCAAAACACAAAATTTCCCAATTTCTCTCTAGACCTTTTTAAAGGGCAAAAAATTAATAATCTAACTATATAAAAGGCAAAGCCCTCACTGACTCACTCGTCACTAGTTCTCCCACTTCCCATTTTCCTAAAGAGGCTGAAATTCGGTACACCGATTCTTTGGGCATTAAATAGGAAAACTAAGAACTTTTTATTCTTCGGGCTTTCGGGCTCCGCCCCAGTGGCTCTGGAGTTTCCCATGTTAACCTTATGATTTTTTTATATTTAAAAGGATAATGAATCTTAACAGCTGTTTCAATTAAACGAGTTGGTTCTGTCATAGATAAAACATACTCCTTGAGGAGTATGTTTTATCTATGGTTCTGTTCAATAATGTTCAATAGCATTAAAGTTACAAGGATTACCAACAGGGTGCAGCACTATTATTTTTTTAAATTATGACAACAACTAATTTGCAACCAAAACGTGAGTGAGCGTAGCGAACGAGCTTCAACCTGGAGGCGAGTTAGCGTAGTGAACGAGCTAACCTGAAGGCAAGTGAGCGCAGCGATCGAGCTCCAACCTAAAGATTGAATTGAAAATCAATTCAGACAAACGGAAATTCGCTTAGTCGGCAGGTTTGCTGAGGCCAGGGTATTTTTCTAAAAGTCTATCACCTGCAAAAATGCATCATTACATTGTTGACTACACTAAAATAATGTTAATTATGAAATGGTTATTTGTGTAACTAGAGTGCAAAGTGGCACTCTGCACTTGTGTTACAGAGTTACACATCATCATAATATTATTTTCCCTACCTAAAGCTGCTATAAAACATACAAATATTTATTCTTTCAAACACTAAACAACACGTTTTAGGTTAGGTTAAATCATAGATAAAACATACTCCCTTGTATTGGTTACTCCATGGTTAAATCCCAAGCATAGAACGAGGTAATTTAATACTTTTACTTTAATACTTTTCAATGAAATGGTGACCATACAAAGTAGGTATTTTAAGCCAAGTATGAATGGGAGATGATTATAGGATGAGTGGCGCGATCTTGTAGTCATAGTCATGTTAGTGACTAAGGCCGACTTATTCCTTAGACACAGCTGTTAATTTATAGCCAATACAGCTAATGGCAATTAAAAGAGACCTACAGTTTATAGTGGAATCTGAATCACATTTTTTGCCTTGGTATATACCAGGAATACTAGAACAGTACCCGACCATGAACATAAACAAAATAATTACGTTGTTGGCCCGAATCCTATACTAATAGCATTGAACATATGTTTTAGCAGTTCTTTTTAAGCAATGTTAAATAATGTTTATTTTCGGGCCAAAAACGTAATTTGTTCCATACCGGGTAATTTTCTAGTATTCGTGGTATATACCATATACGAATTGGTAGTGTAATGAGGTCTTGCGTAAACCAACAAACATTGATAGTGTTTCGTCAACTGTTATAATTAATTTACAAAAACCTAAACTGTAACTTTACAATGATCGTAAATTATAACTTTGAATTGAAGACAAGTCTAAAAAATAGGCCTACTTTGGTTTTTGCAATGTTTGAACTGAAGTAAAGAAATGTCCAAGGTCTGTCTCGAATATTGAATAAGTCAATTTCTACTCTTGTTATGAAAAAATATACTATTACAGTCAATGACATGGCCAAGTTTATTTGGTTGATATGTTTATTCATATTATCTTATATACTAAAAAACTTTTGCACAACTTATGACAGCTAGCCTGACCATACTACTCGACCGAATTACACGGGGCTGGTACCAAATGAAAGATATTTTCCTGTAGATGTGCAGAATCCCTTTATAAATTAAAATAGGCCCAAAATGAGCACGAAGAATGATTTTAAAATTTTAAAAAATTACATGGGCCGTATGGGTAACGAAACAACAACAACATATACACAGAAAATCTAAACAAATGGAATAAATTCCAATCACATGTTTTATTTACAGCGTTTGGTGAAAATAGAGAAGTTTGCACAATACGTACTTTTGAGCTCTCGTCTTATAGACTATGAAAAACTGAACCGAATTACACGCGATCATATTTTCATGCGGACGTGCAGAATCTCTTTATAAAGTAAATTTTAAATTGTCCCAAAAATAAACACAAAAACTGAATTTAAAATGTTAAAAAATGTACGTGGAAATCTACGTGGATATGGGTTGCCATGTTGGTGACGAAATAAAAACAAAAATATAAACAAAAAATCAAAACAAATGAAAGAAATTCCAATCACATGTTTTATTTACAGAGTCAGAATCAGGTGGTGAAATCGTTTTGGAATCGCATGTAGCATAAAAAATCTTGCTTGTATGGGGTATACAAACAACAACACAGAACACAGTTAGATCCTGCAATTAATACTCGGAGAAAAATTGCTCGGTAAAATATCAAACTAACTTTCCTATTTATACATACGCAACCTTAACAGTAGCCTACTAGGCTATGTAAAATTTCCATTTTTACTCTAATTCGTATTGCATTGGTATTGATATAAATGATCAATAGTTATCCAAATTCCAAACCGTGACCAACCCCTTCAAATCTAAAGACAAGTAGGATGCACTATACACTAAATAATATTTATGTTGATAAAATATTTAAAGACTAACCACTTTATCACACACACTGTTTAAATTTGTGTTTGTAAGCTTTCTTTAGAGCTGGATGATCACTTATTTTTTTCAATTTTGAACCAATTATTTTGTAAAAAAATGAGTAAGTTGTGTGTAGTAAAACAATAGTGTCGAAACATAATTACATGGGAAGTTAGAAAATGTTACCTCACTTAATTTCAATTTCAAATCTCCATTATTGGAAACCACACCAATCTTGGAAGCTCGACCTATCATTAGACAATAGACAATAGACAAATTTATTAGTCATTAATTAATTCACAAGAATTACAATAGACATCGTCAATCTAAACAATAGAAACATTATTTATAAACAACTATTAAATTTAAATCTTTGTTTACAAATTGTAAATTGAAGAAATCACTTAATTTGTACATATATAGGACTTGCTTTACACCAAGAGAGCAGTTTTTTTGAAAATTCTTTTAAGGGCAATGCACGAAAATCAACTGGAAACATGTTAAATATTTTGATCCCCAAGTGGGTATGATAGTTTTGAGATCTAGACAGTCTTACTCTACTTACATCAATAAAATTTCTATTCCAAGTTAAGTGGCTATGGGCATTTCCTCTTAAAACATGTTTGTTTGAGTTCTTTTTCACAAAGATGGAGACTTCATAAATATACAGATTTACAACATACTAGATTCTATGAACAGAGATTTACAATGGTCTAATATTTTGGCACCGGTAACAATTCTAATGACTTTTTTCTGTATCACTAACACCTTTCCAATACCTACTCCATTAACCCAATTTACAATACCAAATCTTATGATGCTCTCAAAAAATGCAAAATAGGCTAATTTCAAGTAGCTATTAGTGACATGATTCCTTAAACTGCTTAATAAACATTTGACTCTGGATAACCTTGTACAGAGAACATCAATATGATGCTGCCAAGACAGCCTATTGTCAATATATATACCTAAAATCTTAACAGAACTAAAATCACAGATGTCATGGGTTGATACCAATAAATTGTCAGTTTTGTGAACATTTAAAAGCAAGCCATTTGCAGAGAACCATTCTGTCGATTCACCTAAGGCCTTTTCTGATAGGTAGTGCAACTGCCCTAAGTCACTGTGGCTACAAAACAGTGTTGTGTCGTCCGCATAGATTGTGACATCACTACAAGAAACATTTACAGATAGATCATTCATAAGTAATAAAAATAAGATGGGGCCCAAAATTGAACCTTGCGGAACTCCAAAATTAACATGAGTGACTTGCGATGTAATGCCATTGACCTCAACCATTTGTCTACGATTAATAAGATATGACACAAATAAATCTAATTCATCTAATTCGTTGACTAATCAAACTTCGTTAATGAGTAAAAATGATCCTTGTAGACGAGATGTCAAGCATGGTATCAAAAGATGACAGTTTCGAATTCAAACCAGGACGATGAATGCCATCACTGACAGCTCGCCGTACGCAGGTTTGCTGCCACGGGGGACAGAATTGGGCCCTCTTGGTTTATGTGTCACCTCACCAGGTGCAGTATCGGCTCCATTCTACGCCATTTGTTCCGATTCACTTTTACAAATCTGAATTTTTACGATCGGCAAACGCAGCTGCATCGTCGTGTGTGGGGTGTTTTTAAATTGCTCGAATTTAGCGACGAACAGTGGCAATGCTGTCGTGATTTGGGACTAATTTGAATACGGTGCTACAAAATTATCAACGAAAAAAGTGCAAACTTTTTCATACAGAATTTTCTTTTTATTCACAGACAGTTTACGAAAGTTTATCTTGTTTACATTACATTTAAATTCAGTGTTCGAAATCGAAAATTTTTTTA